CAAGAAAGCAAGAAGAATATTTATGACATTTTACAACCTGGATTTCACAGGACAGTATTCTGTGAATATAGTTTTTTCCTTAGCATTGTTATTTTAAAACAATTTCTTAATAATCATTAAAGTGTTTCTTTTGCCCATTTGGTTTCCAATTTCATTATTTAAGAATATGAAAATGCTTGACTTAGCAAGGAGGCTGTCTTTCTTTTAATAAATATTCTTAATATGCAAGCATCAAAGAAAAAAGTCAGCATGACAAACTGGGTTATGAGGCAGTGAATACTTCTAAAATGATTTGCCTTCAGTCAGACCCTGTTGCTAAAATAAATCATTTAGGAACAGTTTTAATAGTTAAAATGTATATCCTGATGGAGATAGAAACTATGTATCTTTCATTCTCCTCAACAAATCAGCATCTGCAAAAGATTAAATTACTTGCTTACTTATAAATGCATTTCTTTTATGGACATACCAATATTTACAGTATTTCATTTACATTGTGGAGTCATCAACAGCGTAGAAATTTTTCACAAGACATTCTTCTCTGGGGTTATAATTTCCCTGTAGTTACTTCTCACAAAATCCCTCCGAATTTCATGGCTGCTTTGCATAAGAAGTCCCTGAGATATCTGGCACTCAGCCTGGAGTTTGAGCGTGAATATTATCTTTTTCTTGTTTCTTATTGCCTCCTGATTTGAATAAATATCTGACTGTTCCTGCAGGGCCAAATAATCACTTTCATTGTGCTTTCCAAGAATGTTATTAGGTTGGGTTTATTTACAGAACTCTGTGAGAAATAATATTTGGTGGTGGTTTTAATGAGCCATTAAGAGCTAAAAAAGTGTTCCAGTGTGCCTCTCTCTGTGGTTCACCCTTCCTGTTGTTCCCATTCTGAGGGTCCCCCAGGAGACACGTGGCTAAGTACTCCAAAGGGAGCAGCTGTGGCTGCCAGCCTTGTTTGGGGCTCCCATCAGTGGTCAGTGCGGTGCCCGCGGTGGGGACTTGTACAGTTACAGAATCTTCTTACTCTAGAGGGTGTGTACATGCAGGAGAGGTAGAAAGAGGGAGAGGTGGGGCCAGCAGGCGGTGTAGTGGTTACTGCGCTGGACTCCCACGTGACTGATCGTGGTTTGAGTCCCAAACCTGGTGGCTTGATTTTTTGCACATGCCCCAAATCCCAGAGGATTGTGGTGTGGCCGTTCCTCCTAGGGGGTGACTTCTTACTTTCCCTCTGTCTCTGACAAGCACATGCACCCTATGGGAAAACAAAACAAAACAAAACACACTTTAAAAAAAAAGAGTGAGAAGGGGAGAGAGAGAACATCCCTCAACCACCACCACAACACACCATGACCCAGTGATACTGCAGTCCTTTTCTCTCCAGTTACCCAGTGTGTTGAGAACCTGGGCACACATGCACACATTGGGTGTCCTGTGTGTTTTTCAAGCCATCAGGGCTAGGACTTAAACCCTGGTCAGCCATGTGAGATTGGCTTTGTCCTTGAAGCGCCTGAGCGCTGCACTATGGGGCCAGCCCAGTCACAGAATTTTTGAGATGAAGATTTCATGAGTCCAGTGCCTTTTGTTTATAGATGTACAAACAGACTGCCAGGCTAGTTAAATGAATTGACCAGATTTATACCCTTTACCCCCTCTGACATCAAATATCTATTCTATCATGCCTCGTTTAATAGCATTGCTTTGAGAAATGTAACAGGCTCTTTGATTAAAGTTGTTGGTCACTCATTACAGGGCCTAGATCTTGGCTGGCTGGCTGGCTGGCTGGCAGGTGCAGGGGTGGCAGGTCATGGCGTGGAGAAATCTTGTTGAAGGTGCCTGATTCTCTCATAAAAGAGAAAATCAACTTTAAAGAATGAATTGGTGTTGTCACTGTTTGTTTGCCTTTGGACAGACAATATATTATATCTGTAACTTTATATAAGGGAGGCAAGTTTTAAAGTCTTCTTTACCCTGTAGCTGGGCCTATTCATTAAGTAATTTTTTTTTTTTTTATGAGAGGTTTTTGCTATAGGGCACTTGCGCTCGCCAGACGGACAGAGACATAGAGACAGAAAGCGAGAAATCACCCCCCAGGGGGGATGGCCACACCGCAATCCCTTCTCCTCCATTCTCCTCTCGGGATCTTGGGCACGCATGCACAAGCGCCCGGCGTGAGTTTTAAGCCACTGGGTCTGGGACATGAACCGCGGTCGACTACCTGGGAGTCCAGCGACATAGCAATTACGCTAACTGCTGGTCCCAGTAATTCTAATCCTTTAGGTCATTGGAGTGTTAACCTTCTTAGGAAGATGTTTTCTTTTGATTTTACCAAAGGGTTTGGGAGGAAAGAGTTCTCTTTCCATTTCTTGGATTTGATTCCCAAGGTGTAACTCAAGGAGAGTTAGTTTTACCATCTCAATGAATGTTATTATTTCATATACAAATAAAATTGCTTTCTTTTCTTTTTTTTTTAAAGCTTTACCTATTGTATATATTTCTTTTCATGAGAGAGAAGAAGAGAGAGAGAGAAAGACAAGAGCATCATCAGGGTGTCCGCCCTGATCCTCCCCCAGCCTTCCGGCCAGCCAAGACCATGGGCGGGCGTGTTGGCGCCCTTGACTGGGAGCGGAGGGTCTGCCCCGAGGCCTCTAGCACTGCAGTGCTGCTTTCTCAGCTTAAACTCTCTCCTGAGTCTCCTCCTTTTACACAATCTCCCCTGGAGTTTTCAGTTTGCCTTCATAGTAATCCCACTTTGGGACCATACCTCTAGTATTTTAAGAGCGCTGACTCAGAAGAGAAGCCCAGTTTACAATAGTTGTGCTTCAGGCTTTCTTGTGAAGCTTAAATTGGCCAAACAGGTGAGGCTAACATTTTCATCTCAGCTTTCTGTCAGCAGTAACAGCAAGACTGCCACCTCTATAACCATGCAGAGTCGGAATTCCCAAGTTCCAGAAATAGATGAAAAAAAAACACAGAAACACCCAAGTTGAGGATGGGCATGATGTAAAAAGAAAGGCCATTATACTCCTTCAGTGCTTCAGGGCTGTCTTTCCTTCAGTTCTTCTTGTGACTCCGTTACTCTGATTTTTATTACAGAGTAAAACTGGAGCTATAGTTAAAACTAAGGATATAGTAGGGCTGTCAGGTGGCCTGGTGGTTGAGACCATGGATTCCCACATGGCCAACCACGGTTCAAGTCCCAGACCTGGTGGATGTCTTGCTTTCTCACTTTCCTTCTCTCTGTTTCTGTCTCTCTCTGGTACACACACTTGCCCTATAGCAAAACTTAAAATAAATAAGTAAATAAATAAAGCTATAGAATTTATGCTTATAGTCCTAAGGTGATGATTACTTATACTATGATAAAAATATGTTTTTTAAAAGTAAATTATTTTGGGGAGCCAGGAGGTGGTGTGGTGCTCAAGGCACTAGACTCCCACATGGCCAACCACGGTTCGAGCCCTGAAAGTGGTGGCTTGAAAAACACGCCGGGCAAGTGTGTGTGAATGCCTAAAATCTCAAGAGCAGAATGGAGGAGAGAATATTGCCAGGTGGTAATTTCTCACTTTCCCTATCTCTGTCTCTGTTTGTCTCTCTCCTGTGAGTATATTTTCCCCTATGGCAAAAACCAAACTTAAAAAGAAAAATTATATTTAATATGTACATGATTTCAAAGTTAATTAAAAGCACTAACTTTTAATTATTTGTAGTAATTGAAGGTACCCTCTGAGGAAGGTTTATATTTTTTCTATTTTATACATGATAGGTAGTGATTTACATAGGATCAAAAATGTGTTGGTAATGTGATGGTGACGATAAGGAAAGACATTGGAACCCTCTGCTCTGTTGGGTTATTTTAAGGTATGTGAAATGATCCCCATGCATACGTTTGCAGAATAATCACAACTATTAGCCCTGTGGCCATAGAATACCAAGTGCAGAGGTAACAGTTGAATTTATATTTCAGAAACTGCTGTGTTTATAAGGAGCAGGTGACCAAGAATGTCTGCCTTTGCTATTAACGGAGGCCTTCCAGAGGAGGTGCTAGAGACAAGAGACAAAAGATGTTATTTATACCCTGCTTCAGTTGTTTTCCACAAAATGGAACACTAGGGCTCATGGAAGACATATGGAAACATGGACAGACAATAGGCTCTTTTGTCCTTTTGTCTGCTGCTGATTAACAGTTGAACGTGGTCATTACTGGACACTGACCAGGTCTTCTGTTACAGCCTCACACAGGATTGCCTTTGCTCTCCTGCTTACCGCCTGCTTCTCTCTTTTTTTCCTTTTCTATCTTTTTACCTATGCCATTCATTGCCGGGAAATGGATGGAAAGAGTTGACATTTTAAGGAACCGTTTCCTTCCGTTGTGGTTTGACAAACATTCAGACCGATGGCCAGTGAGAGACAGCAGTGGCCGTGTGCCTGGGGGTGGTTCTGCCACTGCCTCCTGCTCTCTCCCTCCACCTTCCCGCCCTCTGTCACCATCCTGATCATCATCATGTGATTCTTTGGGAAACTTCCTAGGTACTTAAGTGGAATTCGCTTTCCAAATGTGGTTCTCATAATTCTGTTTTTTTTTTTTTTTTTTTCCCTATTATTTTTTTTTACTTGATAATGTCCCACAACTAGAGTACCATCTGCAGTATTCTGTTAGAATGCTTTCTTCTATCTTGTGTCTCTTTGTTACACATGTTATTTAATCCTCGGCCTTCTCTGAATTTCCTTTGCTTTTTTTTTTTTTTGCATTTAGATGAATTGTATATGGATTTCTATTTCATTATTTTTTCCTCATATCAAGATATTTACTGAGGGGTCAGGAAAGTAGAATGCTATGGACGTTATGTGTATTTGGTTATTGGCGCTCCTTAATTTCAGGAAGTTTGTTTTTTCTTTAGTTGGAGACATGATGGGTAAGCTGTTCATGCATGCCTAAATACATAAATGTGTATATATTGAAAGCTTGCTATTGCTGAAGGTGTATTTCTTGATCCTTCCAGGAAAGAAAGGAAAGGCTATCCAAATTTGAGTCTATTCGTCATTCAATTGCTGGAATAATTAGATCTCCGAAATCCGCACTGGGCTCCTCAGCAGTAAGTAGGATTAACTCTGTGTGCTACTGAGAATGTCATTGTGTAGCTGCTTTCTGATATAACAAAGAATACCATATGGAAGTTTGTACTTACAAATAGAAAACTAAGAGCGTAATTTAACTTCTGTATGAATCTGTTCCTATGTGTATATAATAAAGCTCCATGAAACATTGCTATAGGGAAGACAGAAATAAAATTGTAAATTTTCCTGTACTAATGTAAATAATTATGGGAAAAATTTGATATACATTGAGACCTTATGAACAGTAGCAGTATGAACAATTTGTTCTCTTGTGAAATGTTTTAGAATAGGGGTTATTGTTTATGTATTTTTAAAATATATGCTTATAGGACCAGCAGGTGGCATGATGATTAAGGTGCTGGATCCAACATGGCTGATTCCACAGTTTGAGACCAGGACCTGGTGGCTTGAAAAATAATTCTGGGTGCTGTACATGCATGCCCCAAATCCCAAGACAAAAATTGGAAAGGAGGGATTGCTGCGTAGCGATCCCCCTGGGGAATGATTTCTCACTTTCTCTTTCTCACTTTCCCTCTTTCTCTCTTTTTCTTTTCAGCAAGTTCATGTACCCTATAGCAAAACAATAATACATTTAAGTACGTGTTCATATTTTTTATGTTCATTTGATTGTAAAATTGAGGTCGATTTGGTAGATTGATTAATCATGGGCATGATTTCTTTTTCTTTTTTTTTTTAGATAGATTTTTGCTAGAGGGAATGTGTGCTCACCATAGAGACAGGCAGAAAGTGAGAAAATATGCCCTCAGGGGGGATGGCCATGCCACAAACCCTTCTCTTCCATTCTCCTCTCAGGATTTTGGGCATGTATGCACACATGCTTGGCGTGAACTTTAAGCTGCTAGGTCTGGGACTCCAACTGCAGTTAGCTACATGGGGGTCCAGGAATGTAGCTATTCCTCCATCTGCTGTTCCCTGAAAGATAGAGTTCCTATTCTTTTATTTATTTATTTTTTTTCTGAGAGATTTTTGCTAGAGGGGATGTGTGCTCACTAGAAAGACAATGCGAAGTCACACCCTAGGGGGGACTGCCACCTCACAATCCCTTCCCCTTCATTCTCCTCTCGGGATTTGGGGCACACACACACACACACACACACACACACACATATGTGCCCCATGTGAGTTTTAAGCCAACAGGTCTAGGACTCAAGCTGTAATCGACTACTTGAGAGTCTAGTGACGTAACTATTACGCCATCTGCCAACCCTGATTAATCATTGAAATTTGGGTTTGGCATGTCGCCATGGTGCATAGGCTTTAAGTTGACCCTGGTAACAGCAAGATTTGCCAAGCAAGATACTCTGTGAACAAATACACGGAGCTTTTTCTGTAAGGCATTGGATATACTGTTTATTTGGGGAAGGAGACTTTTTCTTTAAATACTCAGGTCACTGAGGTCTAGGTCTTACTGTGAATGTGAAGATTTCATATATCAACCAGGATAATTTAGGATGAACAACCATTTAAAGACTACTTATTCACAATTGAAAAATTTCTTCTGATAGAATATAGTTTTTATTGGAGTGTACTTAGTAAAGATAACATAGAAGAAAAATTTAGTTACTTTAAATAATTGTTTTATTTTAAAAACTTGCTAAATTGGGGACCAGCAGTTAGTGTAATGGCTGTCTTTGAACTCACATGTAATTGATTGTGGTTCGGGTCCCAGACCCGGTGGTTTAAACTCACACCAGGGGCATGTGTGTGTGTGTGCCCAAGATCCCAAGAGGAGAATGGAGGAGAA